GACATATAATAATGTCTGTTTCAAGAAAATCACCTTATATTGTAGGAACAACGATGAGACAGTAGTCATTGACTATCAGCTTCCATGCACAGTTTCTTGCTAAATTTCTTGTAGCACTTCCTGTCTAGTCTCCAAGCAGCTTTGAGCAGATGGCAGTAATACTCATCCCACGCACACCAGCATTCCAGTGCAAGACTCCCTGTTCTCTTTCTCATTTTGGGAGGGTACTTCAGGTCACATCTCGCCTCTGTCTTTCACTCCGCATGATGCAGCTGGCAGGGAAAGGTGGAATCTCTGCACAGTCTTCTTGAGGGGCTGGGGGAAGCTTGGGAGAAGCTGCTTGCCCTGCCACATCTGTGGTAAGCATGGGTTTGGATGTAACACATACTGGAAGAAGAGGGTTTATGGATCTAAGTTGTTCTTCTCATTAAAAGGCACTATTAAAATTTCTGTTTAAGTGATGGTAGTATGTATTTCACCTTTTAAGTTGTGTAACAAGTCTGATACAGTTACTGGTTTATTTTAAAATCTTACCAGTGGATGATTGGCTAAGCTTGGTGTAGGCATTCCCTGTGATATCTCTGTGTTAAATCACGTATTTGTATATGTAGTATGTTGTCAACTTTGAAGTAATCCACTCTCAAATGAGAAAATAAATTCCTTTAAACGCTTTTTTTTTTTTTTGACAGGTGGAAAAAATTAGGTTTCTTCTGAGAAGCATTGATTTGTCAGACATCAAAGTTGGCACAGTGGAAGAGTTTCAAGGGCAGGAGTACATGGTTATCATCTTATCAACAGTATGTATATTATTTGCAGTCCTGTAGAGAGTTTCTATATGTGTCTGATTCTCTGTTTCCTTTTTGATATAAAGCTTTTAAAAATTAAAAAAAAAAATTAAAGGCTTTATTTTTGTCAGTTTGTTGCACTATTTGAAAACAGAGCTTAAGCGCATGGAAAACAGTACAGCAGCTGTGATTTTGAGGTAAACCTTAAAACTAGAGATTTTTAGATAACTATGAAAATGCAGAGGTATTTAGTTTCACTCTTTGCAATAAATGGGTCTTTGGGAAAAGTGCTGACAAAAGACAGCGTTCAGGAAACATGGGAAGATGATGTTTGTGGATTGTGGTGAGCACATCCCTTGCATTTGACAAGGAGGGAAAGGGAGAGGATTATGTCACAGTACTGGGAGGGAGTTGCCATTATTACTTGGAAGCTGGCAGATCTTGTCTCTCATCTTCTTCTGCAAACTTGATCACCGATGTCCTTCAGCTGACATCTCCTTTTTTCTCTGAAATATGTGTGTGTGTTATCTGCAGATGCCAGACAAAGATGTAGCCATAGTTTTCAGGCAGTTTCCTACAGTGTGGAACTCCTAGTAGCAGCAGCTGAGACATCAGGCTTAGGAAGACTGAGGCTGAGCTGAAGTTAGATGTGGTTGTGTGCCAGTTCCCTCTCTCTAAATGGTAGATACTACTGCAGTGCGTGCACGTGTCCCTCATGGTCGAATTCTCGTGAAAGCCCCTTAAAGGGAAAAACCACAGCAGCTTCTTTACGTCCTGCTTTTCTGTCCTTTGTCTCCCCAGGCACGTAAGATTGGTAGCCAGGGCTCTTAACAGGAGACTTTTCTTTGTGCTTCTAAGGAGGAATCAGTGGGGAGCTGAGAAGTGTAAGCAGCAGCTGATAGGGCAGCTGACAGCTACTGAGGCTTTTTGCCTCGGAGGACAGCTTCTTGCTACCAGAATATGGGATACAATCCTTCATGCTCTGAGACAACATCCATCAGATGCGCACTGTTGTAGGCATGCTGAACTGTTAGTTAACTGAAGTTAAAAAAGTCCACACTGAGTCAGTGGAAAAGAGCTGAAAAACCTTAGAGAAAGGCTGACTTAATACTTTTGACCATCAGCAAGTGATACCAGTTCAGTGTACATGATTGTGTTTGAGGGTTTGGGCTTTCTTTTGGTGGACATTACAGGCCCTACATAGATGTATTTCTACGGTGTGGAATTCAGTTCAGAATATAAAAGAAGTCTGCATGTTTTCATTTTTTCCAGATGGTAACGTGTTTCTGGTGCAGTAAGTCTCTAAGTAAAGTAAAAGGTTTAAGTGTTTGGAATGTGAAGTTTCTGAAGTGTTGGTGATCTCCGATCCCTCGGGACTGTTCAAGAATGTACAGTACAGGCAGAGCCTGTGTAAGTCTGAGCAACAGCATATAAGGCAAACTGATCAAAGGAGAAGGTATAGACCAGGAATGTGTAGCTGAAGATATGACCAATGCTGGTCTACTTCTAACAAGAGTAGATAGGATTTCCAGAAGAGAGGAGGATAAAGCAGCTGTGTAAACAACCAAAGCACTGGAAAGCAGAGTGAATGCAGGGATGGAAGAACAGTTGGGTTTTGGGTCGTCTTTTGTGTCTTGGGGGAAGAGTTTGTGAGATTTTATTGCTTGGTTTGTTTGGTTTGGTTGGTTTTTTGGTTTGGATTTTTTTTTTCCCTGAGGCCAGTGGTACTGTGCTCACTTCTTTTTGTTCTGTGTCATACCATGGCTTTTCAATCCAGCACCGTATCTCTCTTAGAATCATAGAATCGTCTAGGTTGGAAGAGACCCTTGGGATCATCGAGTCCAACCATCTACCCTACTCTACAAAGTCCTCCCCTACACCATGTCCCTCAGAACTGCATCTAACCGTCCCTTAAGCACAGCCAGGGATGGTGACTCCACCACCTCCCTGGGCAGCCTGTTCCAATGCCCTATCACTCTTTCGGTGAAAAATTCTTTCCTAATGTTCAATCTAAACCTCCCCTGTTGGAGCTTGAAGCCATTCCCTCTCGTTCTGTCACTAATTACCTGTGAGAAGAGACCAGCACCAACCTCTCTACAGTGTCCTTTCAAGTAGTTGTAGAGAGTGATGAGGCCTCCCCTCAGCCTCCTCTTCCTCATACTAAACAGTCCCAACTCCCTCAGCTGCTCCTCATACGATTTGTTCTCCAGCCCCCTCACCAGCTTCGTTGCCCTCCTCTGCACCCGCTCCAGCACCTCGATATCTCTCTTGTATTGAGGTGCCCAAAACTGGACACAATACTCGAGGTGTGGCCTCACCAGTGCCGAGTACAGGGGCCCAATTACCTCCCTACTTCTGCTGGTCACACTATTTTTGATACAAGCCAGAATGCCATTGGCTTTCTTGGCCACCTGGGCACACTGCCGGCTCATATTCAGCCGTTTGTCAACTACTCTTAAAGTAGTTCCAGGTATGTACTATGCTCCTATTTATAAGAACTCATTATTTAGGTCACAAAAACTTTCTTTTATCGAAGGTGGGTTCAAATATAAGTGAAATAAATAGAGGTGAGAATATAATGAGCACCACTTACATCACGGGAGTTGCTTTAGCCATTTTTCCTAAGCCAGGTCAAAGCACACGGAGGGTACTGGGGAAGGCCTGCGTGAAGACACACTGTGAATTGTCATTCAGCTGTAGGAATTAGAATACCAGCAGCTCTAGCATTTCAGTGGAAGCAGTTTTGCTATCTTGTGTTTCAAATTACAGGGATAGTCTTGATGCTAAAATAAAACTAGTACAGCATTCTCTTGAAATTGCTGAAGCTGCATTAGCAACCCACTGGAGAACAGACCTTCTGAGAGAACACCGGTGGTGGGAAATAGCTAGCTGAAATTTGGATTATGAAGCCAACTTATGCATTGCCAACACTATGCTGTGGTTTGCTGCAGTGAGCAAATATTATGTTCAAGTTATGCTATGGCTAGGTAAGTTGCTTTCTCATTATTCTATTTCTCAAATTATCTTTAATTTCAGGTGCGATCTCATGAAGACTTACTTGCTGATGATAAATCCCATTTGGGCTTTCTTTCTAACCCAAAGAGATTCAATGTAGCAGTTACGAGGGCAAAAGCTTTGCTGATTGTCGTGGGAAATCCTCATGTTCTTGTGAAAGTAAGTTTTGGGTTTATATCTCTGAATTGCATGTAGCATTTGCCACAGTAAATTAATGATTTGGGGCGTTAGTTTGATGTACGGGAACATGAGGTTATGTTAAGAAGTGGTACACCATCTTCAGTCTGCATTTAGGAGGATCTGAACTCCATGGGTTCCTCTAAGTATGGACAGTTCAGGCACCACACATTAGACTTCCAAGCACACGGGAAATTTTAGGTGATCTGTGCATGTGGGCTCCTACCTCCTTTTTGTGTCTAGAAGAGGTCAGAACCTCAATGCTGAAGCTCTGCAGCAGCCTACAAGTCCAGTAGACGTGTTCTGAATTACCTTACGCAATCAGATTCTTCACAAAATGCAGTTGCTTCCCTTTTTAAATGGATAGTGGTAGGAGTAATTGTTCCTAATTAAGTCTGCCAGAGTGGTGGTCTCCTTTTGAACCCATGCATGGTCCTTCCGTAGGAATAAGGCGAGTTTTTCTTAGTATCTGCTGAGATGTTATGTCTGACTTTGTGGATAAGAAGAAAAGCACTGTTCCAGAAAGGGTCTGAATAGGAAGATTAAGCTCTGTCTCCCCGCACCTGTGAGCGACCAGGTGTAACTTACAGCAGCTCTAGGTATCTTCCTCCCATGGAACACCGTGTGTGCACCATTTGTACAACTCCATCAGGAAAAGGTCCTGTTAGATATTCTGCATTCAAGTGTTATGTGAACTTGTTTGAAAATTCATTTTACAGAGCAGCATGATTTAAATTAACCACTAATCTTCTCTTGTAGGATCCCTGTTTTTGCGCACTGTTAGAATACAGTTTAACAAACAGAGTTTATGTAGGTTGTGACCTGCCTCCGGAGCTGGAATGTCTGCAAAAGTGAGTGTCTGGTCTTCACTTTAACCTTGCTAGATATGGATCAGTTTTCAATATTTCCAAAGCTGGTATCATTTGAAAGATTGACAAGTGCGACAACCTGTGTTATCATAGTAGGATTTGATTTTGCTTTATTAAGTATTGAAAACATAATAACATGTAATGTAACCATATTTCTCCCACACCATAGGAAGACTCTGAGCATTAAATATCAAATAAGAGCTGTTGTTGACTTTGGTATTTTATGTATCTCTGTATTGGATGACCACAAAGATTTGGAATTGGGGGATGGGAGGTGCAGGGGAAATGTTTAAGGTGACTGTGCTGTAGTTAAAGAAATTTGCTTGAAGACTGATTTAAACATGTCCCTTCTAGTAACACATAATATGTTGTTAAATGGGTATTATCTACTAGATGAAACTTTTTTCAATCAAAATTGTTGTTCATGGGAAGACTAGCAAAATTTTTATCTTTTTCACTTTAACTGACAGGTGTGACTAGCTTTTCAGTCTTCAAGATGCATTCAGTCCTCATCTGTTTTGAAACTAAGAATACTTATCAGAAATTCAGTCCTGAGCAGATCCAGCACCTTTTGTCCTCAGGGGAAAGGCACATGTTCTGAAATGGTTGGAAGTTTCTTCAAACAAGAAGTGAGAAAGTGGAAATTTAACAGCATAAAATAGTAGTGGCAACTTACTTGCTTTTGTGTTTAAAAAGTATATGACTTTATGCCTCTGCATGGAACAGCATGTCTCAGTCTATAGCACTATGCCTGAATCCCCCAAGCTTCAGAAGAAATACGTTGACGAGCTCTTGCATTAGATTTTCCTTATTCTGTAATATTTTTCAGCTTCTCAATTTTCTCAGACTGTTGTAGTGCCTCCTAGAATTGGACCGTCCTGAGAACGTACGTGTGTATTGTAACTTTGTTATGGGAGTGTTCCAGTAATAGATCCATGATGTGAACTGGAATGATACATGAGTATCTCCACTTGACTGATGTTGAGTATCTTTAGCCAAGTGTGCTTAAAAGCCCTACTTCCCATTTTTCAGGCCTTTGTATAGACAGCTGAGATCACATGGGGTTTTCTTGGTTTTTCACTGCAGTGCAGCTGTTTGTCAGAACAATGCTTCAAATGGTGTGTTAAAAAATAAAATAAAGTCGTATATTGCATCTCAACAAGTACACTGTAGAATGAAGTGTCGTCTTTTATTTTGACAAAAATAACTGATGCTTTAGCAATATTCCTGCTAGTAGCTTCATTGGGCACTGTGTTGTCCCCTTAAATAGGGTTTTTTCCTCTTTCTTGTCCTCCCCGTGGTGATTAAGTCTTGTCACACAACACTTCAGTGTAGAGCCCAGCATCGCAGCGTGATGCTGAGAATACCAGCATCGATGATGCCGGGCCAATATTCTGCACTGAGGTCAGGAAGTCGTTTAATGAAGAATCTGTCCTAGTTGCCTGTGGAAAGACCTCTCGCTTCAGCACTGTGTTATGTGTGACATCTCACCAACCACTGTTTAGACCCACCACTGCTTCAGCTAATGGCCAGCCTTGCTCTTTGTCGGTGTGCTCGTGCTCTCTTCAGAGAACAGCAAAGAGATTGTAAGGGAGATGGATGGTGCTTACTTTGGTGCAAGATATCATCCAGAACTTCTGATTAGTATTTCCATGACCTATTTCCATGGCATAGCAGAGTAGCAGATGACTGATGAAACAAGGGAAAAAACCCTTTCATCCAGTAACTACATTTTGCCAGTGGAAAAGCTCATATAGCTTTTCACTGATAACAGTTTTTACTGTAACTCATTGTCTGCACCTAAAATGTGGAAACCTTTTCCCTGAGTTACTAAGAATAACCTCTGATGATCTTGAAAAGTGCTTCCAGAGAAGTCCTCGAGATGGGTGTATTAGCAAGCATGCACTCTCTTTATGTTGAAGAATGGCAAAAAGGGGGATTTCTGTTCCTGCTTCTGTTCTGTGTTAAAAGCTACATATATATTTTTTCTAACCCTTTCACTGCACCCTGTGTGCTGCTGCTTAGTAATGACAGAGAAACTCTAGTGTGCGATATGAGGACAGGCTGAGAGAGTTGGGGTTGTTCAACCTGGAGAAGAGAAGGCTCTGGGGAGACCTTACAGCCTTTCAGTACCTAAAGGGGGCCTGCAGGAGAGATGGGAGGGACTCTCTATCAGGGAGTGTAGTAATAGGACAAAGGATAATGGTTTTAAACTGAAAGAGGGGAGATTTAGATCAGATATCAGGAAGAAGTATTTATTTTTAACAGGATGGTGAGACAGTGGGATGGGTTGCCCACAGAAGCTGTGGACACTCCATTCCTGGAAGTGTTTTAAGATCGGGCTGGATGGGGCTTTGAGTAACCTCGTCAAGTGGGAGTTGTCCCTGCCCATGGCAGGGGGGTTGGAACTCAATGATCGGTTTAGGTTGGAAGGGACCTTACAGTTCTATGATATAAAACAGTTTCGTTTTCCTCCTCCTCTTGCAATGTCTCTCATCTCTTTCTGCTTCCCGAGCTGCTACAGAAAGCCTTGCTTGAAGAGAGCCCTACCCATTGGAATTGTATGGTATTAAACAGCGTTTGCAACTTTAGAATGGTTTCTTCTGGCAGCTTGATGTGTAGGCAGAGCTGGTTGCTCCAGAGGTGTTAGCTTCAATGTTCTAGTCATCTCTTTCAGGAAGACATATGGCCTGATGAGCTGGAAAGAGAAGAAGGGGAGAAAACAGTTGCAGTTCTTGGTATTGGTTAAAATCATCTTTCATTTTTACAATGACAGAAAATTACATATCAGCCACTGCAAGACAGAGTCAGTTTAGAGTCAGATTTTCTTTTAGAGAGAGTTGAACTAAGTCTTATTTTGCATGAAGACCATGTTTTGGTTATTCAGTTCTGCTTACAGGAACAATCTTTTCCCAAAGAAGATTAAAAAAACCCCTCTTTGTCATGGCTGTTTCTGACTTATTAATTCCTTGCCTTACTAGGAACTTAGAAAAGCCAGAGCGAGAGCTTCCACCGTGTCCTGAGGAGCATGTCAGAGGTGCATCAAGTCAGGAACACTATGGCAAATCTCTCTCCTTCCCCGCTTCCCTCTATGTATTGTATTAGACATTGCAGGCTTAAGAAAAGTGAAAGTCTGAAAAAGAGGTGGTCTGTAAAGCAGACAATTCCTAAACCGTTTAACATGAGCACTTAAGAGCTGAAATTTAAAAAATACCCTTGAAAGACCAGTCAAGACATGGGAAAAGCCCAGAGGTTTCCTTGCTGGAATGGAAGTGTGTGGTACTCAGCTGCACGCTGAATGGGTTCTTGGTGTTTCCTCAGTAGGTTTCAAACAGCAGCCGAGGTGGGAGCAGTTTGTTCTGCGTTGAAGCCACCTCATCCTCACGGTGGTGCCACCAACAGTTCCCTCAAGGGATGGAGTCTGCTGTGTGAAAGAAACACCTTCGCTTCCCAGTGGCTGCATTTAGATCATAAGTTAAAGTAGGCATTTCTAATGGTATGTTAGAACACGCAGGTTTTGTGAGAGTGGCAGTCCCTCAGTGTTGCTCATTGCAGCCTTCCACTGACTGGTTTTCATGTTTGTAAGTTCCCCCGAAACTGCTGCTGTTCCTCTGTCCACAGTGGTGCGGTGGAGCCCAGCCACACTACATCGCTGGTTGATGAAGGAGTTGCTGGGCAAGTATTTTAATTCTCATTTGTTATTTCTGCTAGTTCCACAGCTTTTTCATGACAGCTGCTTAATTGCGCTTTATCTAATAAAAGTTCTGTCCCCACTGACTAGGTAGCAACAATCTGAAGGCCAGACTGTGGGCCTCCAACATGAGCCCAGTTACTCAAGCCAGAGGATGCTGGGGTGGCTGGATGCTGCCGGGTGCTGAGCCTCACAGATACACTCTGCGTCTGCTTTTCTAGATAACGGGGGGTGGGGGAGGAGCCCTGTTAATTCTTTCTGTCCTTCATTCTCCTGAAAAATAGTCAACCTACACCTGCAGGGAAAATACACTGAGGCTGAGTTGCTACCTGTACCCAACAGCGTGTGGGATGGTGTTTTCCCATAGGGCCCGTTACCCCAGTCAGGACATGGGATCAGTGGGGCAGAAATAGAATTCAGAGTGTGTGGGCAACTGCTCCCGCTATTTGCTGTCTTCTACAATCTCCATTTGACAACGTTACAGAAGTTGAATACACTTTTCTCCTATAAATAAAATAGCTTGAAGGTGTCAGGGAGCATTGTGCTGTGCATTTTGGAGCTCAGATACTGGAATAATGAGTATTCTAAATCTTAATAAGAAACAGACTCTTTAAAAAGCAGTAATTTTTTTGGAACTAGTAAAAGAGAACATCAGCATTCATTCACAGATTCAGAAACAATTCATTTGTCTCAGTTTTACCAGGCCTGTTAAAATTTATATACTCTGATTATTTAAACAATTGGCCTTTTTTTTTTTTTCTGTAGTGGTAAGGAAAATGCAATGTGCCTCTAAGCTGTGGGGAAGGGTGCTCTTCCAGCACATGGTGAGGAGTGGGAGTGTAAAATAATCCTTTTAAACTGCTTGAATTTCCTTACAGCTTTCAGCGTCGGTATGTTTCAGTACCTCTTGAAAGATATTTCTGTATCCCTCCGAGTTGTGGATAAGGGAGGGGAGGGAAGAGCCGGCCTGGAAGCACCGGGGGCAGCCCTTCTCCCCCGAGTGAAGGCAAAGCGCTGGAGCCAAGAGGGGATATGGCAGTTTGGGAAAATGACACCATTGCAATTTTAATGGTAGTTTCTCTTGTGAGGAAGTCGAGGTTGCTGATGCAAGAGGTAAACTGGTTATCATCTGTGGAATAGAGTAGCACGAAGTGAGATGCTTTAGTGATCGCTGACTCTGAAATTATTAGCAAAATAATTTGGAGTCGTGGTGGCAGAGCTCAGTGCATCCCAACGTGAGGAAGCGTCTTAACGTGAGGTGTTACGTGTAATTGATACCAAATTAGTCTCATAACAACAGTGATCACATGGAGAATAAAATAAGGCCTATTTAAGCACAGTCTTACTAGGTTTGTGAATGAATTTAAATTGACAAAAACCCCACTGCCAAAGACCTCGGTTTATTGATAAATGCAGAGAGCTATTCATTATGACAGCGCTCCTCAAATAACACTGCCCACACTACAAGCTGCCTGAATTGTCTCACATCACTTTAAAACGAATGACCAGTTTAAAGTGCTTGTGAAGCAAAATAAACATGGGAATTCAGCAGCTGTTCAAAGATGTACCCTTCCTAATGGGAAATAACATTCCCGTGTAGACAAATCCTGGGCAGAATTTGGGTTCCCTTTAATTTGCTCTTGATGCATTTCAATATGACAGAATTCAGTCTGGAGGGGAAATCCTGCTGCTTTTCTTTCTACACCTTGGAGTATGCACAGTGTAAATGGTAAAAGCATGTCAATACTCTGGTTCATGGTTCACTCCTTGTAGTTCTTTCAGCTGGGAAAAAATGCACCCAAAGAGTATCAAAATTAAAGGAAGGTGAGAAGTAGTGGAAATTCAGAGATGAATAATGTAGATGAATAATAGAAAAATCTTTCCTGTATGCTCAAGGAGGGAAAACCTGTGGGTACCACGGGTATCCAGTAATACGTCTGAAAAGCAACAAACTGTCTCCCTGTATGAATGCCAGGAAGGTGATCCCAGTCACTGCCATCCAGACAGGTGATGGGTATCACAATACCTGGGTGTGTTTAGAGGGGTCACAGCAACCAGCAGAGCAGCCCTGAAGGGCAAGAGCCAAATGGGAAGTGGGGGTTGTCCCTAATAGCGAGACTTTTTAAGCACCCACAGGTACCGTGTTGATCATAAGACAAAAAATGTGCTCCAAAAGAAAAGCCCTAATGCTGCAACCTTTGTTATTTCAGTTGGTCCTCTTCGTCAGGGTGGCCCTGGTGTCCCCAGGGTGGGTGGGTGTCCCTGGGATGAGGAAGGGTGGCCAGGCAGCACCTGCAGCAGCTCTGCAGCCCGGCAGAGCTTAAGGCACAGAGGGAGCAGCACCCCTACAAATCTGTACTGGAGGAAGGAGAGGTGGAGGGGAGAAGCACAAAAAATTGTCAGCTTTTGGCAATTTGCTGAAAATATTCTTAGGGAAGTCAAGAGCTTTGTGGTGGTTTCCATTCTGTTGCTAACAGCCGTGCCCTGGGGCAGTGAAGAGGATAAGATAGCGAGGACAGAAGGGTAGTGAAAATCTCCCTTTTGGCTTCCCTTAAAATAATGAGCAAACAGCACAGATGGAATAAGTGAGGCAGAAGAAGAAATCCAGCATAAACATTCCCAAGAGTGCCTAAAACGAAGACATTCTTTGTGTGGAACAGGAGAGTGACTAAAAGGCATTTTCTCCTTTATTGTTTCTGTTTTGGGGAGGGCTCCCTGAAGACTGCTCAGATCTCGCTACAGAAAAGGACAGTGTCAGTAATTCTCAGTCCTGTGACCCTCCAGATGTGTATTTCCATCCTGGAAACATCATGCTGGTTTTTGTGTGTGCCCCAACTCTGTGGCTGTGCTGGAAGGGCAGGTGCTGGCGTGGGCAGAGCCGCGGAATCCAGCATCTCCTGTCCTGCCCTGCCCTCCCACCAATGGGTGATGCACGTCGTTTGACCTCTCCAAATTTCCAGTCTCAAGGTTGTGCTGGCATTGCCTGGTTTAACACTGGGATGTTTGTCACATGTGGAGATTTTTAATTCAGACCCAAGGAATTGCTAATAATAGTTGTGAATAGCATGCAATTAACTTTCTCCAGCTGTTCATTAATTTTACCTAAGCCACCACCCATTTTTAGAAGCAAGTTCTTTGCCAGAGCCTTCAGTCAGATTTCTTCATCCAGTATAATACTACCAAGCTTTTATTTAAAGTGTGTTGTACTAGGTACCACTAATTAGCTAATAAGTAGTTCCCAGATACATTCCAAGTGAATGTTACCCTCTCATTTCCACTGAAAATAGTAACTGTAATATTACCAGTTTGTACTTCAGCACATCCTGAAATGAAGTCTTTAAAAGGGTTGTGTGCTATCCATCAGCACGCGTGGCCTTTATGGTAGTGCCTTGTACAGAAACCTCATTTGGGTGGGGAGTCATTGCTATCGCCACAGAAAAATCCAGCAGGAGAAATTTAAAGAACAGATTTATTTTTTTAAAGTGACTCATCACAGAAGGAAAGAAACATTACAAAAAAGCAGAATTAATTTTTACCTAATTTATTAATAGTAGAAATAAAAATAAATTCCTAACAGGCAGATTATTGCTGTCATTTGTAAATTGCTATTTAATCTTTCTGTGGATTAAACTGCAGATCTGCCTGGGATTGAAGTCAACAAGATTTGGTCTGGACTCAAAAGGTAATTTTGTAGAGATATCCTGAAGTAAAATAAATTAGCATTGTTTCCTCAGCATGGCAAGAAGTGTTAATAGTTCAAGATAGCTTTCCCTTCTGGTTTTTATTCTTAAATCCTGGTGTTTGCATCACTCTGTGTAGCCAGGCAAGACTTTTTGAATGTGCTTTGAGAAGCAAAGGGAAGCTTTGGATCTATTTATTTCATGACTTCAACTTATTTTTCCTACTTCTTTTTGTGCAAGGTTAGTGATGTATGCAGAAAGCTTCACGATGTTTGAGGAAGCCATTGGCTCACGGTCCTGAGTGTTTGAATGCAAATGTAGACAACTAATGGTATGTTAAAAGTGTGAACAAACCCACGTCATCCATGCAGTCAGACCTGCGGGGCTGTCAGTTTACTTCATTTTAGAGACTGAGAACTGTAGAACTGGCTAAGAACATGAAAAATTCCATCAGTTTTCAGTTTTCAGTTAAAGGTAATCCCAAACATTAACTTTTAAAAAATACCTGTGTGTTGTTTGCATCTGGAAAGTCAAGTTCTGATGGAGCATTTTTGAAGTGCTTGATGTAGTAGAGAAACAGGCTCTGCATAAGGACATCCATTCTCCACTGACTGCAAAGGAAGGGATCCCATTAAAAGCTCAGAAGGTAATATGATTTTTAAAAAATTATAACATCTTGAGTAAGTGCATTGTCTTTAATTCAGTGTATATTTGCATGCATTGGGGCTGAAAACCTTTAAATGATGACCTTCCATCAGGTACTTATTGAACCCTTTCTCCCCTTTTAACAGCACATTACAGATATAATGTGAATTTCTGAAGAGCTGCCTTCGTGGTAGCTGTACGCAGCATAATGACCCATCAACACCCGAGTGGTTCCATTAGCACAGAGGGTGAGACAGGTACCTCAGCAATTCTTCCACCTCACCGACATCCTCTGCGTCAGCAGCGCCTGGGGAGGCTCGTGCCTCCTTCACGGTGAGAAATGACTGCACTCCCTGAAACCACTGCAGTGCCCCACACTCATCACAGCTATCGCATTAAAAACAACTGCATAGCTTGATCTAACTCCCACCGCCAGCAGTTTCATGCCGTGTATTTGAGACTTTGCTAGAGTTACTCCTGCTTGCCATCGGGTGATGCAGAGCAAGGCTTACACAGGCACCTTGTCTCTTTCTTCAGATAACAGTCAGGGGTTTGCAGGTTTAATCAGGATATCTGTTAAGGATTGTTGCCACTATGACATTCCTTTAGTGATTTTTTCCAGCTTCATTTCTTTTACTCATTAAAAATGTGCATTTCTCTTACATTCAGATAAGAAAATACATTATGATCTAATATTGCAAAGACTAATTTTCCTTTTGTGGCTTTAGGATCACAATGAGCAACTGCAGCTCACAGACACTAAGCTGAATGCCCGAAGGGCAGCATCAGATTTTCTGCAGATATCACCTGTCTTGCTTAACCTGACTGGTTTTTACTTGACTTTTTCTTCTAATGTGAAAATGTCATTATATACTAATTTAATTCTGCTCCAGCAGATGCTTTGTTGTATAACCTAAGCCTATAAGCTTTTTCCATCAAATATCTATGCTGTTGTTACTGTCATATATCTAGCAGCTTGTGAATCAGCATGAAATTTATTCATATGCTGTAATCAAAAAATTAACAGGTACATATTTAATATCTTACCAATGCTTTCAAAAAGTCTATTGCATCAAGTAATCATTTCAGAGTTTATCAACCAGATTTGTGATTTTGTCCATATGTGCTTGATACAGTTTTTCAGATGTGGATTTCTGGGTTCCTGGTGTAACACCTGGTCTTCTCTTTGGCTTCTCCGCAAAATACATCAGTTACAAGAAGCTCCAGAGACACTAAGGTGCTGTGCAGAGCTGGAACACCTTCGGTTCCTGCCACCTGAAAATATGACATGATCTGACATTAGCAGGGTCAGGAAGAAGCCACATCCATTCCACAGCCTTTGTACTGGGGCAGTGTCTGCCCTTATCTCGTTGATTGGCGTTAGTTATAGTACTGTATACAGCATGTTCGCTACAATTCCTCCTCTGGGCAGACGACATGACCTGCAGTCCACCCATTTTAATTATGGGGAAAATGATAAATTTTTTTCAGAGTAAAAAGAAGTTCTTCAGGGTTCAGGCAGTTGTTTAAGTTCAAAATTATTCAGTTCGTTTTTTAATTAACTCCTTAACAAACTCTCTGCAGACTAACTGCTTCCCCTAACTTGGTTGGGTTTTTTTTACATGACTAGTTACTTTTTACAAGCTCTAGCAGATAATGATGGAATATAAAGTATCTGCCCCTTACTGCAATATATTAATTTTGTCTTCCTGCTACTTTCCAAAGAAAATGCTAATTCAGTGTAACTTCATTTTCTGCATCATAACTGACAGCTTTACCCTCCCTGCCCACTGCCTGATGTGTTTGGCTGTTAGGGAACTTTGCCACTTGTCTTCATCCCCACAAACAAAAGGGGTTTGATCAATAACTTTAGCTTGTATCTTTAGGCATGCTCTAACGCTAGCAGTAGGGGCTTCTGCCAAAATCAGTATTTTACAATATAAACTCAGCATAATGGCAAATTACTCAACCACTGATATTCTCTATTCGGAGGTGTGTAGCTCAGTACAGTCAGGCTAATATTGGAGACCTCCATGTTATTACACCTAAATTACAGCAGCGCCCAGCGAGAGCTTGGCCAGACTGGAGCCGGCTCGTGCTCAGCGATGTACCAGTGCAGACTGTGTGCAAACACGTGTGCAGTGGCTTAGCCTTACCAATGTGAGTATTTCCACTGTTTTTAGTATGGCTGACTGTGTAGGACAATAAAATTAAGAAAGTGTGTCAGGGTTTATAGAACCAGGGACACAACCAGCAGCACGTGCAGGTTTGACAAAACAGCGCATGAATTAAAAATGTTTTTCCCAAGGCTACATCAGTTACAGTTGTAGGATTACAAGAGAAAACTGTTATGTTGATAGATGAGAATCCAGCTCTTTAGTAGATATATTGCATGTAATCTTACCCTAATAGCTCTTAGGGGTGACATCACTTACAAAGCAAAATGTTTGCTGCCAGGAATGGAGGGACATGATTTGCAGCAGTTACACAGCACTTACACCGCAGTAGCTCTCAAAGGCGTATTTTCTTTCTGGGTTTGGGCATCTTTCCAGAGGTAACAAAGACGTGAAACCTACCTAGGTAACATAAGGTTAGACAACAGGTTTAGCTTAGAAGTGACCTCTGGAGATCATCTGGGCCACTTCCCCTGCCCTGAGCCCATCCAACAGGGTCAGGTTGCTCAGGGCCACCTCTTCTAGGGTTTGACCACATTACGTGTTGGTTTTCTTTTCTCAAGCATAATCAGAATTTCTATAGTTCAAACTTGCATCCTTTCCTTCTCATAGGAAAGTGAAGAGAAAAATGTTTCTTCAATAACCTTCTAAAATAAAAGAAATAAAAGAAAGCCAAATAAAATAATTAAATTTGTTTAAACCATCTGAAATAAGCAGAAATTCCCTACAACATATCTAGGAGGATCTGTTGGCAATTTTGCCCTTTACTAGAGGACTGATAATTACTAACTATCTCTGGAACTAACTACCTCTGGAAGAATTAGTATTACTTCAAACCTTTATCAGTTTAGTTTGCCTTGTGATAATTGTAGGCATCAAGTTTGTTTGCACACCATTTTAACATCAAGTCAGTAGAACTACTCAGAGCATATAAATGACAGAAAGTGTATTTATTATTCAGGTTTTGGACTGAAGTTTTACTTAGTCCAAGTGCACAGGAGGCTAGGATATTCCAAAGAGATAGCCTCAAAATCTAGAGAACACTGATGCAGACAGTAAAAACAACAGTCACATCAATGACCCTGCGTGGCATTCCCAGCACTCCAGATTCCTGGGGAACTGTTCCTGTTCCTCCTCAGCCCGGGCAGGTTTCTTGCCTTTGTCTTACACTATACCTGAGCTACTAAGCCCTGTAGAGAGCTGGGACAAAGCTGCTGATGGACTAGAAGGACTTTACTGTCTGTCACTTACTCTTAAGCGTTTGGCAGTTTGGTTGGGAGCGATGGTTCAGACCCAGCTGCTGGATATCCTGAAGAAAGGACTATTGGACACGCGCAGACCAGATCCGCAGCAGGGCACACTGTGAGTTTGCAGGTGCAAACCCTGTGCTGTAGTGCAGAGACAGCCTGCTACCACATGGCAAACCTGACTCATTCAGGACATACAAGACTGGGCAGGTAACAGGAACAGTGTGCATGTGGAAGCCGTGAGGAGTCTCACCTGTGCCAGATTTCTTGCACTTCTGTCAGGGAAATCAGAGGAACGCAGCAGTCCTACTGCAGGGTGTGATACAGATGCTGCCTACTGCTGCTGGACTCTTGCTGGTTCTGACAGGGACAAAACCACCATTTCACTGCGCTATATATGGTGTTCAATGTGGCACCTACATTGATCATTGAGAATTCTCTCTATTTCTCACATGTATAGAATCATAGAATCATGGAATCGTCTGGGATGGAAGGGACCTTTAAGATCATCCAGTCCAACCATCAATCTAACTCTGATAAAAAAACCAAAAGAAAACCATACAAAAGAACCCCCCACATTACTAAGCTATGTCTCTAAGCTATGTCAACCTGTCTTTTGAACACCTCCAGGGATGGTGCCTCAACCACTTCCCTGGGCAGCCCATTCCAATGCTTAATACCCCTTTCAATGAAGAAATTTTTCCTAATATCCAACCTGAACCTCCCCTGGTGCAACTTGAGGCCATTTCCTCTTGTCCTATCGCCTGTGACTTGCGAGAAGAGACCAATCCCTGCCTCTCTACAGCCTCCTCTCAGGTTATATATATATCCAATATATTTGGTTCTAATTTTTTTTTTGCAAAATACTGCAAGAATTTTTCCCTTCTGAGCTCTTTACTTCAGTCTACATCTCTGAGCTGAAACTAAGCCAAAATATTCATGTATAGGCTATAGTCACAGCTCATTCAAAGGGGAAAAAGATGATTATGAGTTCTTGAATAGTAAAAACAGATGATTTTCTATTTTAACTCATTCTCTTTGTTGTTATATTATTATTAAAAAGAGCTTTATTATTAACTAGGCAAAGCACTGGTTTTATTAGCAGTTTTCATGCAATCTTGTTGTTCCAGAAATATATGTTTTGGCATTGATGAGAAAATATGACCATGTCTGGAAATAAATGCCAGGAAATCTCCATTTGTACATGCCCATCTGCAAACTTTAGACAGCAAAAGCCACTGAAGACTGTATTCTGGTTCTGCATTACCTTTTCTGTGATATTTTCTTCTAACAATGAAGAATGTCACCAGCTGAAGTCTTCTGGACACTAAGTCCTTCCAGTATCTGGTTCAGTTTTCACTGGAACACCTCTTGATTACAGGCAGATGCCCATATTCATACACAGCAGCATCTGCCAGAAGATGTGACAAAGACTGTCTGATCCCCATAACTCAATATATGAAAAATAATTGACCTTACAAGCAGGTACATATTGGAAAGGATCCCCACCTCTGCACGTGTGGATGCCAAGCTTGAGACAAGTAAACCCCCTTCGCTCCCATGCATGCTGTCTGGCCTAACAGCCTCCAATCAATGGTTATTGATGCTCATGCTGTGCCTAACGGTCTTATGGCAGTTGGTAGAGGCAAATCCACCCTCTCCATGGGAATGCAGAGCTGTTCCCAGGAGGACACTTCCCTGTGGTGCATTGTGAGACTTGTTTTTTCTTAGCAGGCTTCAGGGCAGAAGCTGTGTTAGTTTGCCAAGGCATATGGCTTCGCAGGGCCTGCACGCTGTTGGGTTCTGCACTTACTGGCAGTTGTGGTTTGGGACACTAGATCAAAGAGACAGTTCGTCATTATGTGAAGGCATTGAGTATGGAGACTGAACACAGAGCATATGATAAATCTGGCAAACAAGATGAATACTGCGTTCTCATCCATCAACACTTAAGGAGCAGCAGAACAAGCCACAGCGTGGTAGGTGGGATTGTACTCCCTTGCTGACATGGGACAACCAGTAATGGCTCCACAATGTCTGGAGGATGTCATGGGTGTAAGGGAGGTACTCCAGTCTTTCAGGGCCATGGTACAAGACTGAAGAAATCCATTCAAGTACCAAAATGGGCTCTCAGCAATTTTACTTTGCAGACCAGTACGTTTAGAAGATTGAGGGTAGGGCTAGCCTGTGCATGGGGAACACAAAAGCAAAATGGCACTGGCTTGAAAATCCCCTGGATGTCAAGACTGCAAAAGCATATACAAACAGGTGTGACTTGCCTTTGTCACAGTCTCTAACTGGAGAACTAGAGGCCAATATTCCTTTGTGGAGCAGAGCCTGCAGAGCCTACAGATCCCTTAACCAAACAATGTGCCCTCATAAGAACTACAGACTTAGGGTTAAAGCAGGCAACGGAAACTAAGGATGCCATATGTGCTTAAATTCATGCCACGCCTGACAATTCTAATGAGTAATTACTCACAGCAAATGCATGTGCTGTTTTGTGGATTGTGAACTGTTGTTAGACATGTTGTACTGATAGCTTACAGATTCTAAAGTGATTCTTTTGCCTTTTGGGGTTGGGGTTTTTTTGAGTGCTCCTGGGATGAGGGCACTGTTAATCTTTATGGAGTATTTTGTGCCTAATTAATTGTAAGGACTTAGGTAGCTGAGGGCTTTTATTTTCCTTTACAGAGTAAAATATCAATTAAAATGTAAATCTCTGTGATTGCTGGCTTGGGGACATGGAGATCCCTGTAACTGAACTGTGTAGATTACTCACTGTTTTCAAATACATTAATAATAATATGTTGGCACAGCTGCTCCTCATTTCCTTA